TATTAATAATTATGGTAATAATGATAAAAGTTCTACTTATTTTTGCATCCCATAATTGTGATAATAGGCCTAGTTGCGCACACTTGTTCCTATTTGGATGTGCACCCAACGCTTGGGAAGGTCATCTAACGTATTAACAATGACGGTAAATAATAGGAATGCGCAATGATTGCTCTAAGGTGTCTTCATTAAATAAGTGATGCGTCTATTAGTTTCTCATAAATATTTAAAGTATTATAATTAAACCTAATATTACTAGTTATTAATATTACTAGTAATATTCAAAAATTCATTATTCTTCGTCACCATCATCATTGTCGTCATCATCATCGTCATAGCCTAATTGTAGTCGCCATCATCATCATCATCGTCAACATCATTCATCATTATTATCTGCATCGTAGTCTTCATTATCATCGCTGTTAATGCTGTTGTTATAACAAATAATTATTAAACATGAGAATATTTATTAGTGATTAGTCATAAAGCGCTTTTTCTGAATTTATCATCCTTAAAATGATTTACGTTAAAAGCTTTTTGTCAACTTTCAAATAAAAAAAACCAATCGATAATTCAAGCATCAATTAACTAAATTAGATTGTCTTCCCTTAATCAATAATGAAATGTACACGTTGCCATTATCGTAGTAATTATTATACGCTGGTATTTTTCTAATTCGAATAGAAATTCACGCCACGCATTGTTCAGTAGGCCTACGTGCGTGTAGAACACGTGGTGTCGTACCCGTTACGTCATGCGTATTTTGCTATACTGTGACCAGTCTACTCCTTCATACGTCACTCCGCTTTTTCCATAAAAGGAGCTTCCATCTGTCCGAGTGCCGTAATGTCTAAATGAAAAATAATTGTAATGATGTCACATATTATCATGTACGCATACGAACACGTTGGAATTTTTACTAAGATAACATCATAACTATCTTTTGAGCGAGATTCTTGTTCAGATTCATAGGTTCTTTCACCTTTAAACCATGTTCAATGTCTAGTGAAACGAATATCATCATGCTTCATCCTACTACTACGCATCAGTAAGCCGAGGCTTGTACGCACGTCTCTGAGAAGTACATGTGGCTAAATATTTGACCGCCAAATCGAGATTAGGACTACCTTTAGGACCTGCAAATGTGGAGTACTGGAGTTGGCCCCCAATTAGAATTAGGATCTCGAATTGGCGGGTGACCTGTAACACTGCAATGTAATTTGTGATAGCATAAGCCTACAATATTTGCTTACTGTCAAAATAACAATAAAGAATATTTCGAGATACATTATGTATTGCATACCATTACATACATAGAATATAATAATATACAATATCAGGGTTAAAAAGAGACCATGTTAAAATGTTTTAACAAGAAACAATAACAAGGTCGTGGATAATAGAATGTAAAAACTAAAGAAAACGCAAAAAGGACAGAAAATTGTCAGTTTTTTGTATAAAACCGTGAGCCCACAGGAAGTTGGTGAATGGAAGCTAGAGCAAATATACAGACTGATGCAGAGGATCCGACCATTAATGGATGAGGTGAATACATCGATTTCGATTATAACAGAATTCTGTTTCACTTCTAATGCAACAGAAACATGTAGTAGCAACTAATTAATATATCGAATTTTAAAATTAAAATATTAATAGAAACGTAGCGTAAGCATTTCATCATCTTCTATTTCCGAACTTTTGGATGTATTGCCAACAAAAAAAGTGTGTGTACAGGTGCGGTGCGTAAATTATATCATCACCCCACCATCCATCACTACCATCATCATCATTATCATCACCATCCGTCAATACCATCCTTATAACCATCATCATAAACATAATCATCATTATCATCACCATCCGTCAATACCATCCTCAAAATCATCATCATAAACATAATCATCATTATCATCATCATCACTAGGCCTACTGATCATTATTCAAGCATCCATCCATCCATTATCATCATCATTATTGTTAATGTGTTACAAATATATCGTTACTATAAAACGAATATAAACGACTCGCACGAACAAAGAAAAAAAATTCTTTCAATTCAAATCAATGGATGTAATTATTTATCTCTGGATAAGCACGAACCCCCAGTTCATGCTACAGTTATAGGCATTCAATTCGTGACATTGATCGTATTGTTGGGATACCAGTGAATTGCCTGAAACTATATTGATAAGAAGACGAAATTAATTTGTTAAAACGAATGTATAAACAGATCACCAACAATTAAATGACTAATAATTTAGACATCAGGCGTAGTGGTAACTCCCTATGGTGGTTGATATTGTTTGTTTGTTTTTTTTTTTCCCTTTATTTCCTCGATCGACATGGGAGGGTAATTAATTATGCGTTTGTCCTGGGTGTTCTTTTGATTTAATAATAGGCATATGCAGGCTTCAAATGTCGTGAGACCTGGGAAAATGACATAATGCAGCTGTGGAAAACGGAAGAAAACATAAATTATTATGTATTTCACTGAAAACAAAGGCATCGGATTACAATAATACTACTGTAGTTTAAATGAAAATGTCATTTTAGTTTCGCTTCAGTTTGTAATTCGTTCCATACGCTTTCAGGTCCAAAATTCAGAAAGAATGTGTTCTCATGCTGTAAGAGTTAAGTATAGCTATGTACACACATTAATAATAAACATATGTTCCTCGTCTTTAACATGCTAAGTCTTTGCATACTTTACAATGCATCCATCGATGTTATTTATTTATTTATTTTGTTATTTTACCAGTAAAATAGTCATGCAGTAATGAATTTCCGTATATTGCGTTATATATCATATCACAGGTTAAAAATGTATTGTCATATGAAAACATTTTAAAACCATTAAATTAATTTGTTACCATATACTATTAATAAAGCTGAGCATAGAAATGAGTGCAATTAAAAAATTGTTGACCCATTATTTTACAGAGAAAATGATAGAAGCATTTCAGACAATGAAAGTGTTTCAATATTTTTATTACGATTATCCAGTATAATAAAAATCAGGGTACACGTTTTTTTTTTTAATTCAATAATTTCTATGCTCAAGGCCTATATTTTACGATTTATTTATTTATTTTCATTTTATTCTCTTTAGGCACTCTATTATACATCTGTAAAGTAAAGAAATTATGAAATTATTAGTAATAGTAATAATAATAATAATAATAATAGTAGTAGTAGTAGTAGTAGTAATAATAATAATAAATTAATTAATTAAAATGTTGCCCATTAGAAGCTCTTAGATTAGAGTCAGGCAACCTTTCTCTGGGCCTTGGGACCACTTCCTACACCATAAACAAATTTGCAGACCACTCCACATAGGCCTATACTAATATTTAAAGTCAATAATTAGACTTATACTGACATAGTCAAATATTGATACACTGTTTTGACAGAGAGAGCATCAATTATACCAGTGGTTATACCACATGATAAACAATAAAATAACAATTCAATGCTGTAATTATTACATTATTGAGTGTTTTTCCCGAGTTTACAATCAGACAGTGCGCAATGAATTGACTTCATGAGTGTGAAACAAACAACCGACCAACAATCAGAATTGGCCTAGAAATACGCGCTCGTCCAAACGTACGTATTTACGTACACTTATGCTGCCGTTGAACATTAGATACAATATCAAAGTAGCAGTGCTTACGGGAGTGCTTAGCAAGAAGGTCAATTAATTTTAAAGTACAGTATTTTCTCCTTGCGGATTTAGGATCAAGTACGAGAAGTTCAATGGATCCGGCGATGATATCACTGGATTAAAATCAAATCAAATCTCACTTAGGGAATTTAACACAGGACTAAATACGCATATATACAAAAAAAAAATTATAAAAAAAATCAAGATATTAGATTATCAATCGACACAACATAAGAATATTCAGTGGTGGTGAGCTATGAGCTCTCATAAATGACTCGGGCCCGGGATATTCATTTTTTCCCCATACATCGGCCAAGCGCCACTTTTTATAAAAGTATCAACATCGCTCTTAAAACGCTAACCATGCTGAAGACGGGGGACTTTTCCCAGGGTAGTTACATAGACAAAACGCCAATAAAAATCAATAAGTCATTAACAATATTACTAATAACCGCCGGGTGTTATGTAGGCCTATACAAATAATGACATAGAATAGATTCCACACAATAATTTGTTGACATTCTTGACCTTCACTGAATATATCTGGGGAAAAAACCAATATGCTACATAATAATTATAATCACATAATACATAACAGTTAAACTTCATCTTATTAGTGGCGTATTCAAGGTGGCCCAGTCGGCCACATCCCCTACTTTTTTTAAAAATTTTACAAAGTGGAGAAAAATAGAAAATAATATTCGTCTAAGATTTCTATTTCCGGCCATCTAGAGGCGCCATAATCAAAACTGTGATGTCATCAAGACCGTATTTAGGCATTTCACATAATTTGTCAAACGAAATTTGATAGCCGAGACAGGAAATCTAAACTCCTGTCTAAACTCCATGAATCTAAGACATGAAATGACCTATGAACCAGTGTCATAAGGCTCCGGTGTGACACAAAAAAAAAAAAAAAATATTGGTGTTCATATAGAGGAGTCGAACCCAGGCCTCAAGAGATTGGAATGCTGCATGCATCTAATCAACCACAAAGCTGTACCTCCTTGTTTCGTTACAATCCACCACAAAGCTGGAGACGGTTTTATTAGTTATTGATGTTTAATAACAAGAATAAACGCCTTTTTTAGTGGACAGTGAATCCATTATGTCTATTGTGTTCTGGCCGATTACGCTTGCGTGGGCAATGTGAAAATATGAAAAAAAATTACTTCAAAAGCCGGAGATATTCAAAGAGAGTGACATAATACAGTCATTGACATTCCATCCCCTTTCACCATTATGTTTATTGTGTTCTTCCCGATTATGATTGCGAGGGCAATGAAAAGAAAAACTTCGAAAGCCGGAGATAATTAAAGAGAGTGACATAATACAGTTGACATTCCATCGCCTTGAAACCATTTAATAGCCACACTATAATATCTAAAATATTTGGTAAACATGTAAACATAAAGAGAAACTATAATTTAAAAAAAAAAGCATACTGTGCTCGAACTTCTAACCTATAAATATATTTTAAAAAATTAATGTTGACAGTTGTTTTTAAAATGTTAACGTTTTTTTTTTTTGTTTTTTTTTTAATTTGACTATTTGACTATTCTCACATTTCTGTTTGTATAGTTTATTCGGCTGGAAGGTACAATAGGTGTATCAATTCTAGACGTATTTATGAACAATATATATACTATTTATATAAATTATATGTCATAATGTTCTAAAATTGGATGTGGGAAAACCTCAAATATTGAGTTAGTAGTAGCATGGTGTCGCTCGAAGGCTGGGGCTAAGATGTCCAATAGGCAATTCGACAGAGAATATTGGGGCCTGCACATGAAAATTTAGGCATTTTGGTCTATCTTAAGCATTATAAAGATATTTTAGTACGTATTATGCCTCAAAATACCACATTACTTTCAATGGGCACAGAATACAGTGTAGTAGGTGTGAAAGTATAGGAAGCGGAAATGGTTTTAAAAACATGACAGCTCAATGATCGTGTGTAAAATAAAAAGGAAAGAAATGCAATACAATTGTTCTAAGTAAGGCTTTAAAGCCTTTTTTTTGACAAAAACATGTCACATGCCTAATGAATGACATCACATGATGACATTAATTATATAGGCAATTAATTATATAGGAAATTAATTATATAGGCAATTAATTATATAGTCACATCATGACATTTTATTTTGTCAAAGGGCTTTATACTCATTTTCTGTAAATTTTTAATTCTCTAAGTTACAGACAATTGTTATTGAAAACAGCTTAGCTCCATGTTTCTTAGACGCCCGAAAATAACCTATGAGACGTTTTGGCTATCAATTATTTCTTTTTTTTTTAACTTTCCAAAAGGGGAGGGGAGGGGAGGGGAGGGCAGTGGCTAGCCAGCCCACATTCCCTCCCCCACCCCCACCAAATCTGTCCCTGAGAAATAAGTCTTCTTCTAGACTTTCGTGGGTTTTCCCTGGTGTACATCGAATAAATCCATCCGACAAAACTCTTTGGCTAATTTGGCTAATGATACGATTTACGGGTGTTTGAAAAAATATAGAAACATTATCGATAATTTTTTTTTCATTTCAAATTTTCAAATGAAAGCCATTATTGAATAAAATAAACAAAGCAATCCAAAGATTAAACTGTATAGAGTATTATTTAACAGGTCAACCATCTAATGGGTATGATTATGAAAATAGCTAAATGCACTACCTACATACATACGACTGATGCAGCAACCTATGTAAAAGATAAAATTAATTAAAATAAAATCATTGAATTATTTATCATTAATTAGCCAGTAGCCTACTATAAATATTCTAAAACTATACAGAATTGTACTCTACCAAGTAGTATGACGTATCTATTTATTATAGAGCTTTTGATCTGCGATTATTAAGAATGTACAGTCTTAAGAGACTCTACGAGGACTGTATTGTATTAAAAAATGGTGCACCCGTCTTTGCGTCAGTGCATATATCTCAGCTGCGTACATGTTAGCAAAAACTGAAATTGATTTATGATAGAATGTAAAATGCATACGATGCCAGTTACGGATAAATTGAATTTGTTTTGCGTTTATGTTCTACGTTTACGACCAAAAGCTCAATATCATGAAAATAGTTAAATGCACTACCTGCGTAAACACATGCATAAGCAAATGCCCTCATTTCAAATGTAAAGCCGAGTGGTACGACCGACGGCCAATGAATTTAACTCCGCCTGACGTGAGCGCTAGATGACATAATGCAGTCTGCTGGTTGTCGGTAGCATTCTGAACAGATCCTCATTAAAAAACTTACCGTTGCGCATGCATTGTGGCTTTATGTTCTGCAAGAGATCGCGTCGGCTGACGACCCATTGGCTGCAGTGAGTACCCCGCATTAAATGTTTACAAGTCTTTTAAACTTGCAAGTTTTTTTTTGTATTTTGACTTAAAAACAAAAAATATAATATAAAATGAAATAACTACATATAATAAAATGAAAAAAAAAAGCACTCTTCTCGCTATCAGCATGCCTTTGACTGTAACTGTGGTTTAGGTTGCATTTGGATCTTTTCTGACTTTCGAGGTCCTGTAAAACACAAAAATGAGCACTATAAATTTAAATGATTCTTCAAAATATATAAGATTAGAATTGTAAATTGATACAGTACATTAAAGTACAAGTTATTTGAGATTAATATCATATTGTATTTACATTGTTTATTCTATTTTGGTGTAGTATATATTTTTTGTAATGTATTTTTATACATTTTTTTTTTTACTATTTCAATGTAAACATAGAGTTTCTTAAAATTCAGTTTATATATATAGGCAATGTTTGATATTGTTTGAAGTAGACAAATATGGACTGTTAGCATATTTATGCAAGATTTAAAGACAAGAAAAAAAAAAATGTGGGAATTTCCAGGGTGACACAGGACAAATTCAAGAACATTATCTAATCTTGTTACCATGACAACTCCATACCAAACTTCTCTTTTATCAATAATCTGAAACAGTAAACTACGGTTCAAAGTTCAAAAAGTTTGTTCACACCCACTAGCTTTAATAATATTACAGTATATATATTACTCCTGGTTCTTAATAGGTGGTCTGTGTGCCAACTTTCGCCTGCCCATGTGATAAAATAAAATTTAAATAAAAATAATGATAAAAAAATAAGTTGCTTGATGAATAAATTTCCTATTACCGTAAATGCTTGAATAAGCGCTGCTCTCGAAAAAGCGCTGCACCAACCATAATTTTTTTCGCTAAGCGCAGCTCTCGAATAAGCACCGCACTGAAACCTTCAAAAATGTTGTAAGCACTGCGGCTCCTATTCGAGCATTTACAATATATAAGTGAATAAAGAAATGCAACCCCTTGGACATGTCTACTAACAAAATTTAAGGAACAATCACACATGTGAACATTTGTATGTTAGGTCAGGTACGTAAGCTTTCACCGAGTCGGGACAAACAACTGAGATGTGGATCTATCAACAAACGTTCAAGATTTAGTAAGTTCTAGCTATACCTAGAAAAGCCTACTGGTAAGAAAAATCAAGGTGGTTTTAGGTTTTACTTTTAAGAAAATACCACTATGGCACTTGCCACCTGCTAATTTTTTCCTCCTGTCTATTTTCCCCTGCTGATCTTCACCCAGTATGTTTGCTCCTAACGTTCTTACTGAATTTTTTCATCAGTTTATATAAGTTTGTTGTGTCTGTAAAAAGCAGTTTTTACCCAGTCAGCAGCATGCTGACTTGGTTCTGTTCCCGAGCAGTTTCTTCTTTCTTTCTTTCTGGCAACATTTTAAAAGGCTACTAGTGGCAAACTACTGGACCGATTTAATTAAAACTTTGTCAGTAGGACCGGTACCACCTCCCATTTATGTGTTGTTCACGGCTTTGGGTCAAAGGTCACATAAGGCGCATTAAGGTAAAAAAACCCAAAAATCGTATAAAAGACTACTTGTCTACTTGACTACTTGTTTAAAACAATTTGTTGCAGGCATGTTATTAATGCGTTCTCTGTGTGATCTCGTCGACTGACAACCGTCAGAAGCAATGCGTCCCCAGCTTTACTGTGGAGTAATAAATCTGATGCAAGCAATAATACATGCTAAAGCTATTGCATACTGTATACTAAAATGACAGAATGCATGCAAAATGATAGCATGAATGCAAAAATAATTGAGTTCACACAAACTGTACTTACTGAAAGTTTGTGAAAATGCTTAGGTCCCATAGAACGCTTGAATAAATGATGGAGTGCATAAAAACACACAAATTAAAAAAGACTGCTATCGATAAAATGCATGCAGACACATAATTAAATGTATGGATATCCAAAAATCCTGTATTTTACACAGTATATTTAATACGTATTCTTGTTCTATGTTATCATGATTAAAAATAATTTTCAATGTAATTACATTAATAATATTTTTTTTAACATTCAATTTCAGAATTCAGATTACTGTTTCCCCTCAATATATGCAAAATGTTTTTGTCCTTTACAGATAATTTTTACTATCATTTTTTCATCAAAAATAAAATCTGAACTCAGTCATCATACCGCTATGCAGGCTATACCATCCACACACACACACACACAAAACTACAATAATTACTATATTATTATTATTATTAAAATTATGGTAGATTAACATACACATTCCAGCATAATTCACCATTACTATGCATACACACGGACCATCACAATGCATTCACACTGACCAGTAACTGTGCATTCACACTGACCAGATACTATGCATTCACACTGACCAGTAAGTGTGCATTCACACTGACCAGATACTATGCATTCACACTGAGCAGTAACTGTGCATTCACATTGACCAGATATTATGCATTCACACTGACCAGTAACTGGTTATGTGAATTAAGCCAAATTTGTATGTAGCAGTTTCCATCTGGCTTTTAATCCCAAAAAAAGTGAGTGAGTGAGTGAGTGAGTGAGTGAGTGATTGAATAATTGATTGAATACATGATTGTCGCAACTGATTAAATGATAATGTCAATTAAGCAGCTGATCGATCAGTTAATACATTATTTGATCTTTAAATTATTCGAGGAACCTATATATTCATTTGAATTTGTATAAATTAAATTCTAGTTGAATGTATTTGATCCTTAACTAATGCATTGGCCCATTAGACCACTAATACGTTATCATGAACATTACGAATCTTTCCAAACGCTGTACACAATATACCTCTTTTCTTTTTCCATTCAGCTACAGCACAAGTGGAAGAAGTTCTTCATTTAACTGACACTATATTCTTTAAATTTAAACCGGATTTCAAATCTTCGTATATTACATTTAAATTTGATTTCAGATGTTTTTTAGCCTTGTAATTTTAGACACCAGGAAAACATAATTAAAAATTGTACACTAAATCATTATTTTTAAATTTAGTCTTTTATGCGCCTACTAAATTTGATATAATTGTGACATTAATGATAAAAATGCATAAAGCCACAGGAATACAATGGTTTGATCACCTTGGACTTTCTTCCGCGTACTATCTCATCTCAATGACCCAGACTGAATTTCAATTTTATTTTTTAAATGCACAGAATATCATGTCATTTTTGTTTTGAGTTTAAATCAACCATTAGTGTATTACGCCTAATTGATATAGACTCTATTATATGTTATGTATACATACTATAGTGTATACATTCATTTATAGTAATAAAATAATAAAGTGAAAGATTTTATTGTATTGGGTACTTTATTTTAGAAGGCTAGAATAATCTACGTTACTATCTATTTTTTTATAGTGTAAAATGAGATATAACGGCACCAGCCTTAATTAAAATCCATCAATATTTTGCACAGTTAAGACACTGTATGGAATACTCAACACAGACTAAAACATGTCAGACCAGCAACGTCGTGATGCTGCCATATAAATTACAATGCACCTCGACCTATCAACCTTCATTGTGCCGGTATATTGAAGTTGGCGCTAAAACAAACTTTGAATCGCCGTTGCTTCAACCAGTACAGTAGTTAAGACGACATTTTTCTCAAAATGCGTGTAACTTTGCTTAACGTCGGGTCAACGTTATTCTAGCCAGTTGGGTTAACGTCTTTCCAAGAAGCTGAACCCACGTTGGCCCAATAAATATGCAAACGTTTAACCAACGTTAGTATAAATACGTTTGGCCAACATGGTTTGATGACGTTGCATAAACATTATCGGTCCGACGTTGACTCAACTAGTCGGACCAACGTCTTTACAACTGCCTGAATCGACGTTGGCCCGATGGAAAAGCAAACGTCTAGGCAACATCAGAAAAAGTGCGTTGGCCCAATGTAGTTTGATGACGTTGCACAAACATATCAGCCCGACGTTGCTCCCACTAGTCTTTCCAACTGGCTGAATCGACGTTGGCCCAATGGAAAAGCGAACGTTAGGCAACATCAGAAAAGGAAAGCTGGCCCAACGTAGTTTGGTGACGTTGCACAAACATCGGCCCGAGGTTGATCCAACTAGTCAGACCGACGTCTTTCCAACTGGCTGAACTGATGTTGGCCCGATGGAAAAGCGAACGTCTAGACAACAGTAGTAAACGAACGTTGAGCCAACGTGGTTGGACGACGTTGCACAAGCATTATCGCAGGGGCGGATTTAGGGGGGGGGGGCGGCCAGCTTTCCTTTTCTGATGTTGCCTAACGTTCGCTTTTCCATTGGGCCAACGTCGATTCAGCCAGTTGGAAAGACTAGTGGGAGCAACGTCGGGCTGATATGTTTGTGCAACGTCATCAAACTACATTGGGCCAACGCACTTTTTCTGATGTTGCCTAGACGTTTGCTTTTCCATCGGGCCAACGTCGATTCAGGCAGTTGTAAAGACGTTCACTGACGCGTTACTAAAAATTGATTGGTATGGTTAACTGGTTCTGGTTGTGGTGGGTAAGGCCGACCTCCTATGGACTCCAAACGTGTAGGACTATGGTCAAAAGTCAAAAGAACAGAAGCTTGTTATTTTGATTGTATTTAATCTTGAATTTTCTAATGTTTCTTAATTCATTTAAAAAAATTATTTTAAATAAAAAAGAATTTGTTTTTGTATTAATTTCAACTTCATCCAAAAAGAAGTTTCTGTAATATGGGAGAAATTTTTTTGTCCTTGTTTGGCTCCTATATGAATGTGCATGTTGGTTTGTATGCAAGCTTGTCTTTGAGTCGGGTTAACCCACTGAAATCTTTAAAAAAAAAATAATCTGCTATCAAAAACGGCAAATATTAAGTTAGTTCTAGCTATATCTGGAAAACCCTGGGAAGATTTATAATATAGTAGACTCAAAATCGAGGTGGTTTGAGGCTTTACTTTACAGAATATAGCACTATTGCGGTGGCTACTTGCCACCTGCTAATTTTCCCAACGGATTTTTTTAGTACCTAGAGAGTTATTCCCCAGACTATTTCCCCCCACCCCATTTTTTCGATGTATTGTTCCTCCTAGTTTTCCTATTGATTTTTTTCCATCAGGTTATTTTCATTATACTTTATAAGAGAGAGAACATATTTTTTTTTTATTTTTTTTTATTTTGTGTTTTCTCTATAGGCCTATCAATTAATTATTGTTTAGTCGTTGTAAGGTTACACTAAAAAGGTGTGCCGATGATACAAAAGCATTATTCAATTAATTGATTAATTGACTATTGATGCATTCACAATACAGTGTTGATGAAGCCTAAATACATATTGTAGAAACGTTTTGAAAGTTTAAATCCGGGTTTACATAAGAAACAGAGGAAAGAAAACAGGATATCATGTTTCCTCTTTTGAAATTTCGATATCACCTTTCTTCGTTCTTATACCCATATTTCTCTGCATCAACAAAAAACACTCCAGCAAGTAGCGGAAGTATTATTTCTGTACTTCTACACTACTTTTGAGGTCAGTGCCCATTAATGATTCTCTTCTAAGATACGCCTAATTTTATTTCAAATTACGGTTGATGGTAGCAAAAATGCCTATATCATTAAATATATTTCATAATTAATGTTATTTAATTTGTTTTATCTATCAGAACATTAGGTTAATTTATGTTGTATAAAGTACAGTATGTGTATTATATATTTTTTTAATGTTTATGACTAACGTTTATTTACACCGAATGCAATTTCTTATTGTTTTAACCAACAGGATAAGAACAGAATATTGATAATATAATTATGTATTCTTTGCTTAAAGTTACAGAATTTGTTACCACATTCTTGTGTAGCACAATACAAGGTAGAATTTGAAATTACCAAAACATTATAACGAGTTGCTTCATAACTTAGATATTATCTTTAGCCCGTGAGCTCAACTCAAAAAAGAATATTTAGGCCCATTAAATAAATTAATCAAGAACCAGGATATATACACATTTCTGTGTTTCTATTCTTTATTACCGTATATATTATCATATTTAGAAAGGATGATCTATCATGTATAACTGAAAATAGCTTAAACTTAGGAGATTTATTAAGTATAAAATACTATTAGTGTCCCCTAGCTTACTATATATTTTTATATTTTTATTTTTTTTTATGTAGTTCTGTTAACATTTATTCTTGCCATATTTATTGTTCATGCTCCCCAGCTTAGGGGTCATTCATTATTTTCATCATTTTCATGAGAGTACAAAACATACTCTTTTTGCTATCATTGTGAGATAGCACAGCTCTCTATACACATTTTCAAAATAAATTTGCTAATTTTTTTCATATTGTCAAATTGAATTAATTGCCTTAAATTTTTCATTCAGTGTGTGCTTTTTTTTTTTACCTCCTTTTGTTTTGTTTTTTTTTCTTAAAATTAAAAATATCTTAGATATTTTATCCTAAAGTACAATACTCCCTGCTGACAGGAACAACACTATCTTTAATTGAAAAATCTCAAAGAATCTGCTACCAAAACTTGTTAAAATACCATAACTATAGTATGCTGATTGCTTAATTTAGTTACCATGACAATAGACTGACAACACTTGGTGCCACAATCAGTCTACGATATAAGACATGAGCCCAATCCTTGCCCAATAACCACATAGTCAAAATAATAATAGGCCTAGGTTCCATTTTTAACCCAGCAAACTGGCATATTTTAATAATAATTTATTTTAAAAATATAAATAACAATTAATAAACTTTCATTTTGTTTAAATTTATTATTATCACATAGGCCTAGACAAAATAATTGATATTTAGACAAAGTTGAAAGCAAGTTCATGAAAAAATTGACGCACAAGAAAGAAAGCACATGGCTAACCTTTCACTTAGATTGGTGGTGCGTGATTTGTTGGTTTTGTTTTTTGGATGAGGGCCAATTCACTGCCTTATGCTCAAGATCTTAGGCTTGAACAATGTGACCACTGCTTGGGATTTATCCCAAGATCTTGGGATTTTTAATGACACCTTGGGATCTTGGGATTTTTTTGTTAAATTTTCATTAAATCTTGGGATTTTTGGAATGATATGGCATTTTTAATTTTTTCTTTCAAGAAGTGAACAAATGTCTGCTACCAGTTGACCGTTGTGAATGAGGGTTGTTAATTTGCTAAAAATAAGACAAATTGGAAGTTTGTAGTTTGAAGGCTGTTGTTTATATATATAAAATCATTCAATTCGTTGTTGCCGCCAAATTAGCATCATGTGAAATTGGGACCCAATTAAAATTGTAATACGCCTTGCCTTCGATGGTTACATGTAGTGAATACGAACTGGCATATTGTAATACACGAACCTTGATGTACAGTACCGTAAAAGCTCGAATTGAAGCACTGGGCTTCTTTATTTTACGAACTTTTGGATGGGCTTCTTTTCAAGATGAGCTACTAATTTTGTAAAGCAAAGAGGGGGGGGGGGCTTCTTTTTAAAATGAATGCTGTAAATTTTGTGAATTTGTACAATTATAACAATAAATATTACAGTATTACTGCCATAGACACGGTTTCATACACACTCGCTGAGGTAAATTTCAAAGCAGTGGCGGATCTAGGAATTTGAAATAGAGGGGGTCCAAGTAGGGAGTCTTACAGATGGAGGGTCTATACCTCCTAAGCCCCACCATGGTTGGGGCTGAGGTAAGAAAATTTACTATTATGTTACCTCTAGAAGGCCAGAAATAGTACTCTCAGACATAAAATTTGAATGTATAAGTATAAATGGGTTACCTGCTCATGCGCTGATTACCAGCAGCAACACTTAGCATGTGGACCCAATGACCAGGGAAAAGAAGTGCGCTTTATAACCGCGAAGAAGAGGCACATTATAAATGACCGTACCAATACCAATATTAATACCTCGAAAAATACCCTTGCCCACGCGCCCCTCCCCCAAAAAAGAAATCACGGTCAAGTAAAAAGCACCTAAAATCACATTATTTTGCAAGTTAGCATCTCTTCAACTAATCATCGAGCCCCTACTTCACCTTCGCGGCCCCCCCCCAATCTGCACCCCCACTTCAAGAGTACTAGTACGCCACTGGGCCCCACACACTATAGAATCTGCCTCCCCCAAAGCGAACGTGTTTTGTAGTCTCGAAATTCCAGACACTGTTTCGTTAGGCTTATACGGTACAAAATACTGTACAGTTTCATTGAAAAATCTTTAAAAATTTTACTTTTAAATGAAGTTGTATGTGTATATATATATATACTAATATTTTGCGAATCTTGGGATTTTAAAAGTAATATTGGGATTTTTTAAACTCAATCTTGGGATTTTTTAAATTTTCCCAGTGGTCACGCTGGGCTTGAATCATGATTGTGGAGTGATGGTGTGGTATTTAGTACAGTACTAGAGAACAAGTAAAACTTACGTTATCGTGAGTGTCCGTGGAATACAAATAATACATTGTGTTTTAAAATGTAGGCTCATTGAATTTAAAAGGTAGGAATTGGGCCTAGTGAAGTAGAAGAAAGGAGAAAAAATAGGTAGGCTTAGCCTAGCACAGCACAGTGAAACACATGGTCCCACTGCTCAGTGCTGTCAAGCTATAGTTTAGGCTGCTGGCTTACGGTTTATTCAAATTTGCGGAGCTATGAGTGCATTTCCCTTGTATTTCGAAATTGTTTATAAGTACACAATGCTTATCAACACATCGTAAATCATGGATGCAAGATGACGTTGTGTATAAACAATTGATAAACTTAACATTTACTCGTGAATTGCTAGGTACAAAAACGTAGGCTAATATTTCCAAATCGTCATTTTTTGTACTTTTTGAAAAGCGTACACATACCTTCAACCCCCTCCCCCCAGCGTACGTTTTGTACGCTCGTAAAAATGATGAAAATAATGGATGACCCCTTAGTAAAATTAATATATCAAAAACTCTCTTACCTTATTATTTGTTTTAACATACCTAGCAAAGGTGAATTAACTAGTTAGGCGCATTATGTTGATGCTTTGAGATTGAGTTTTACTTTTCAATTGTTGATGTTTTCTGTAATAACAATAATAACATTAATTTTATATGTTGAGCTAATTTATCTAGATTACAGCTCTTAATTTTAAGATAAATAAACAGCCATGCATAATAATAATATATAACGATAATATACAACAAGAGCACTCAGTAGAGAGCATATCTCTGCCCCACCGCCAATCTCTTTCTATAAAATAATTCCTCACAAATATGTTGCTACTTCCAACCACAATCTACTTAAAACAAATTACAATAACACAAAAGTTTCATTTAGATGAGTTAATTAATTTTTGAGATATCTAATACAGTATGCGATTTGGTTTTTAGCGTTGCGTGTTAAAATGTAAAGATACATTAAAAATATTCCCAATAAGTTCCGAAGAAAGTAAAGTGGTACATATAAAATGCTGTACACATTTACTGTAATTGCACTAATTTAAATTTTCATCATATAGCTATTGTTTCTGCCTACGGTAATACGGTAAACTCATTCTTTAAATGGTCCTCATAGCTACACCCTACTTCGGATTGTGACCAAAATTTAAACACTTCTTTATTAAAAACACGACAATCTATTATGTCAATTGTCATTTTTGTCCATTGATCCATTTTCAAGATATTTAGGTCTGGGTCTTTTGGCCCACAAATGCACACCTGAGTTTGGATCGTCACCGACGCTTCATAACTTCTTTCTTGTACTTTGGTTAAGCTTTAACAGAAATTTCAATCATATCAGTTGATTAGTTTTAAAAATATCTGGTCTGGGACGTTGTCCTTTAAATGGTCCTCATATTTACACCCTTCTCCGGATGCTCACCAAAATTTAAAATTTTTTTTATCAAAACATGACAAACTATTCTGGGTAGTGTCATTTATTTATTTAAATTTAAATTATTATTTTTAGAGAAATTTAGGTCTGGAGCCTTAGGATTTTAAATGACCCTCAAATTTACACCCGAATTTGGATCGTCACCAACACTTCCTAATTTCGTCCTTTTAACTTGGTTAAGCTTTCATGAAAGTTTCATTCAGATCAGTTGATTAGTTTTTGAAATATCTGGTATGGGATGTTTTTCTTTGAATAGTCCTCATATGCATACCTTACACTGGATGGTCACCAAAATTTAATCACCTAATCCTTGGGTTATACCTAACAATCCCTATAACTAGCATTTAGATTGGTGCAGCTGTTTTTGAGAAATTTTGAACACAAGAAACACACAGGACCTTAAAAATATAAATGACCCTCAAATTCACCCCCAAACTTGGATTGTGACCAACACTTGATAATTTCTTCCTTGTACCTTGGTTGAACCTAGGATAAATTCCTTCAAATGGTCCTCACATCCACACTCTACTCTGGACCATCACCAAAATTTCATCATTTCTTTATTGGGTTATACCTAACAGTGCCCGTTATTTACAATTATGTCTGTGCAGTTGTTTTTGAGATATTTTGAATACAAAAAAAAAACTAAAACAGCAAAGTGTTAAACACACACACACAAACTTACATAAATAAAAACATATATCTACTGGCGGAGATAATAATAATAATAATAATAATAATAATGTTAAGACTTCCATAGCGCCAAATGTCAAGACTTCCATAGCGCCAAATGTCAGAGCTTTGATGCGCTTAACATCAAAATAAAGAATTTACCCCTTGTTTACGTGTTATGTGTAACATGTTTACCTGACACATGATCATAACTTGTAATTGCATATAAATTAAGAACAGACAAAATTAGTACAGGTCTCCTTCTAATTAAAGACCAATTTTCTGTGGTCTTACATTAACATGTCTTATGTAATCTTTATTACTCTAATTAAAGACAGAGGTTGATAATGACCATGGAAACCCCATCCCTAAGGTGGCCTTTAATTGGAGGGAGACCAGCATTTCACAATATCCAAAAGAGGTCAGCTAATCTGGTGGTACCAATTACCAAATGTAAGAATTCGAGACTTGGAACCAACAAACTGTCATCTCTCCACAACAGGGGTTCTATGAACCAATAAACCAATCCCTCCTCCAACTCGTCTCAAAAAATGCAATGTGTAAAACCAAACTCTATTCTTCTGGGCTATATTTCAATATATATATAGTTTATAACTATAGTCTAGAATAAAAGGGCTTTTATTATTATTATTTATATTGTTATTGTTATTGTTATTATATATCATGTATGACGGATGGTTTCAAAATACTGTACGTATACTAATGGTTTTGGATTTATTTTTTGCCACTCAGTTAATGTTTTTAGCTTATACTGTAATATATTTCTAGTTTTGTAACTTTGTATTTGTCTAGGAAGGAAATTACTATGAAGCTGTATACAACTGATATTTGTTTAGCGAAGGTTATTTTTGAAAGACCTTCAATGGCCATAAAAAAAATCAATAAATTTTTATTTTATATTTAGCAAAATGGTTCTACCAAAAGCATTCGGATGCGGAGAAAAGAATTATTTATTATTAAATGAACAAAAATTGCAAGTGTGTGAGGCCATTTTCATAAACCACTGATTGTTGTATAAACAGTGTGGTGTGGGAATGTAAACAGTTCAGTAATTCAACAGATAAATGATTTATATTCAATTTTGACTTTATATTATTATGGTAGTAGGCGGGATAAAATTTAAAAATACAATTTTTTTTTAGGGCGGAAGGTGCGCTAGCAGGCTAAAAATAAAATTGTACATGTCTTTCTCCAATTAATGATCACCTCCAATTAAAGACTATTTTTCTATGGTCCCACATATTTTTGTCTTTATTATTCTAATAAGAGACCAAAGCTGTTAAAGACCATGAAAATCCTTATCCCAAAGGTGGCCTTTAATTGGAGGGAGACCTACATTTTTATTCCTGAAAATTTATTAACAGTGGGCACTGGGTTTGTGAAATACGATAAAAAAGACGCCTGGTTTTATTTAATGTTATACTGCATAATGTCAACAAAAAAAAATCACAAATTAGATCATGTGTCCATTTTGTAGGGGACATAGTTCAAAATTACATTTCAGTTACAAAACTGCTGTACAGTATTGTACCTTTAATAACAGCTAAACAGTTTGGGGCTGAAATAAGCAAACGATTACAGGTCAACAGGATCATATGTGTTGTGAAAGTAGTTTAAACAAACTAGATATTGTTTGGTAACACGATCAATATTTAATATCTAGGTCCTGTAGAGTGATTACTAACCATAAAGTTCAAAAGTACTATAACTCCAGCGATGGAGACAAGAACTCAGAATACAGGGGGCCTAGAGAGGGGACTTTTACAGATGGAGCATGTCGATCACCTCCCCAACCATTGTTAAGGCTGGGGTACACATTTTTATGGCTATGGCACTCCTAGATGACCAAATATGCTACTTTCAGACTGAAAGCTGAATATAACTTCCTGGCCAACTGTCCCACCACCCGAATCAGCCTATGATTCTGATGCGAGTTGAGCATTCTTGCTGATGGTCCACAATCTAAAGCGAAATTCTAGGTATATAGTATGTGTAATGACAAGAAGCAGTATAGAGCATAACTACTTTGTGTAGGGGAAGTTGCATTGGACCTAACCTAAATAGACAACAACAAAATAGAAACATAATCAGCATTCGTGCTAACGTGTAAAGACATGAAAATATCATTAGAAATGCACGATTGAGCAAATAATTAACTCGATGATGGCTTAGTGAAAACACAGACACTTCAATCTTCCTCTTTTCCTTTTCTTTTCTTCTTCTTAATCCCCTTTTCTTTTTTGTGATGGGGCTTTAGCTCACGTGGATCACCCTTGTAGGTATACATATATACTGCTGGGTAGAGAGTGAAAAACTGAAATAAAGTAGACCTACATTGTCAGAAGGAATTTAAATCTCCACCCCTTCAATGATATTGATTAGTTTAGTGAGTTGATTGTCTAGTTTGAGTAACTGTGAAGTTGTTTATAAAAAAATTACAAGTGTATGTAGACGGATTTGGAGTGAACATTGAACATAAATAAATATAATACTGAAGAATTTAAATAATTAACAAATTAACAGATACCTAATAAGACAAGATGTTTAACTAATGGAGCTTATGTTTCATATCATAAGAAATCTGTTGAACTTATACTGTTGTGTGTAGTAATACCCCATGCCAGAATAATACAGCTAATAAAGTAGTACAAGTAGGTACTTCCTGGTAGGGTCAAATGCCAAAGCTCTGATTACAAGCTGCAGCATTAAGGAATGCACCCCCTGGAAAGGATGTGTGAAGCACATAGAAACCTTAGCATGATTTAATTTCCTTTAATTTATTTCATCATATATATGATAGGAGTACTTTTGCTGTGAGTCACACCAAAAATAAGCCAATAAATCCAAAGACTGTGAGGTCCTTCTGGTGGTGTACAGGGAGACAATCCCCTACTCTTTTCCGAAGAGTGTACTGCGTTCTTTAACATGCACGCGGGCCATACTGCACACAGGACCAACGGCTTAAAGACGGTGCGCCATCGTAACTTGAATTTTAGCTCTCCAGCTGAAACACAAGGAGAGCAGCGATGGGAATTGAACCGGGGGACCAAGAGATCTCCACGGTTCAGCGCACACACAGTGGATACTACCAGTTTTGCTGACTGAGCTGAGCCACTCTCAGTGAGACAGACAGACATATTTTATTAGGTTTATTTTCATGGCATGATTTGAATGTTTTAGCAGTAATTACATTCTGCATTTTAAACTTAAAACATGTTTTTGTGAAGGGTGATACGGTACAAGCGTCTGCTTTCAGAAAGTGGACGTGTAGCTTGGTGGTTAGCAGAGAGGCTTAGGCTGGGTGTTGGACCTTTGGAGTGCAAATGCATTAGAATGCAGAACTAAATCCCAAAATGCAGAACTACATCCCTATTCAAATAAAAACTTAATGGTCATTTTTAGTATTTTAACAACCCACTTAGTAGAACTGCCATAGGGCAGTGCAGCTGCACCCCCAGCCTACATTCATGTGATTAGCATGTTCACCTACTAATCA